ATGCTCGATATCCACAGCTGTGAGAGGCAGCTATGAATGTCAGTCATTCAAAATGGGACCTTTGACTTATGATGGAGTTGTTTGACTAACAAGGCCAAAGTCACTCCATTTGTAAGACTCCTTTTGAATAACCATATTCCACTGATAGCATGGGTGAGCTCCTTTTCTCCTAAGATATTAGTCTTAAACGTTTAAGTCTTCAGCAAGTAAGCCCGATTTTAAACCCCTGCTGCTTCCCATGGCTGAAGTTAGCACCATTTTATTAAGTTGGTAGTGAGCTATAGCTGCCCCACTTTCCTTTGTTCATCTATCGATCTAAACTAATCACTTAATTAGCCAGACAAGAAGTCTTCTGCGGTGTTAAATAACTCCAGAAACCTACTGGAGATGCTTGAGTGGACCGATTGGATTTAACTTGCAGTTCATTACCTCTAGACTAAGATATGTTAAACTTAGGACCTGAAAAACAAACTGGATTTTGTACTGAGAACAAATTCTGTTTACTTACAGGAAAAAAAAAATTCCCTTTAAGCTAGTGGTTTTCAAAGTATGGGCCCCAACACACCAGTATCAACATCACCTGGGAACATGCCAGGCCCCACTCCAGATCTACCTTATCAGAAACTCTGGAAGTAGGGCCTTGCAATCAATTTTAACCTGTCCTCCCAGTGATACTTAGGGAGAACTGCTGCTTTAGGCTGTCTCTCAGGGTTGAGGACTTATTTTTGTGGGCTTACCTTCTAGCAGAGAGAATAAAAGGGGGGAGGGGGAAGGAGAGGAGGAAAAGTGGGGGGATGGGAGCTCAGCAACCTGGATAGGAAAACTGTTTACTGAAGTATGACCTTGAACCAGCAGCCTGGAGCTCACTGGGAATCAGAGTATTAGTTCATGTTCTTCCTTAGGAATGGCATGGGATAGGGAGGTGATCACCCCTGGCTAGGGAGATTATACAGAATGATCGGAGAGTGACCAAAGTGCTGCTTTATTGTAGAAATATGAAAGGACAGTGGGACATTTCCAGGGTGACCTAAAGAGCACAAGAAAGCCTCAGCTGCTCTCAAAGGGCTGCCCCAGAACGGATACACAGAGGGTCCTTAGACCTCCTTGACTTGACAAAGACTGAACCTTAGGAGGTTGGTTTTCCCGAGATAATTTTGATCTGGAATATGTAGGTATGTTTTTTAGTTGTGGTTTGTAGGGAAAATCAGGAGTTAGCCATAGGGCATCAACTGTTCCCTCTTGTCCTGTCTTCTGAGAAGCAGCTTGGCTTAGGGGAAAGAGCTCCAGGCTTTAGGTCATGTACTGTGTTCTTACTAGTGTGTGGCCTTAAGTGACTCACAAACTCTGAACTGCAGGCCCCTCAGTTCTCAGAAGGAAAATAATAGTTACTTCCAGATGATTTTTTCAACATTGTAGCATGGGCATCTAGTACATACAGTACTTCACACAGTAGTGGTTGGATAAAAATTTGTTTAAAAGAAAGGGAAGGAAGAAAGGAAAATGGGTTGATTTTTGTGAGACTTATATGAAATGGTGCTTTGTGAATACCTGGCATAATGCTCGGTACAGAGATACTCTACAAGTAGTATCTCATGAGGAGAAGAGGAAGAGATGACTGGATTCAGAAAACCATCTTCTAGGCACCTGCAATTGGGACCATAGTCTTGCTGAAATTAGCTTTGTTCTTCCCATTCCTCTTCCTCTGCAATCCATGGTTACTCCCCTTTCTAGCTACACTTCAGTGAGGGGGCCCCTCACTTTTGGTTGCTGAAACTACAGCCTTCAATTTGATGTATAGTATAGATGATCAAGATCTTTGCAAAACTGAAATGAACTGCAAGTGTATGACCATGCTTGAGAGTTGTCGGTGGTGGTGATTTCAAGTAGGACTGATGGGTTTTTAATCCCTGTAACTAAGTAGTTACATGGTAATTATTTTACATTGTTCTATTTCTAGGATAGGTAATCATTAACCTTTTGGTTAACACATCTGTCTCACAGAGTAATCATTTCTAGTAATACTCTTCCTGTATGTTTTTAAGTTATAGAAAAGTCATTAGGTTGCTTTCATTTACATGATTAAAGGAATGGTCTCACCTTGGGAATGTTTAAATATTCCCTGCTTTTCCTTAACTATCCCTTTCCCTTTGAACATCAGTACAAAGGACCAACCTACCAACTTGATAGTTCAGGAGAGAAATTGGAAATGGTATTTATTAAATTTGCTGAGAACCCTTCATTATTGATTATTCCCCGAAAAGCACAGGGTTTTGGGAATAAGACCTGAGTTGATCCCAAATACATCTATTATCAACTTTGTGACCTTGATCAAGTAACCTAATCTTTCTGAGCCTAAATCTCCATATATATTGTATGGGGATCTTCTATGGATTAAACAAAATAATATTGGCAAATGTATCTACAATGCAAATTTATCTACAATGCAAATGTATCTACAATAAATACACAACAAAAAGTTTGTTTCCTTCTTTCACTAACTTGTTGGGCAGTTATACTCCATAACTATAGAGTGGTGGAAGAAGTAGGTACGTGCCCAGATCTAGTTTCAAGCTTGGATACAAGGGATGGATGAGAGACATTTCCATGTCATGAGACCCATAACTCCTTCACACCATCTGAAAGAATTGATATAGTTTGAGAAGTACTGTTCTATAACTGGGTCAGCCGTGGTGGAGATAATCGTGGGGAAAGTTCCTTTCAAGCTCTTTGCCAAAAACAGAGAGTCATTCTCTTCTGCCATTTGGAATTTGATTATAGATGGGCCATTCCTTATCTTTATTGTTCCTAGAGTTTGAAAAATGAGCACACACAGTTAAGTAGGGGACATCTTCCTTCAGAATGTTGTCCGTGCAGAGACTGGCTGCTGTGCTGTTGTCATCTGACAAGCACAATGGAAATGGACTCCCGTATATCTGTAATTATCCATTGTTTACCATAATATCAGTAATTTTCCACCTCTTTACAAAAAAACAAAACAAAACAAAACAAAAAAACCTAGTAGTTATTTGTGCCCAAGAAGAAATGAGGGAGAAAAATAAAGCTACTGCCAGGGACGTTGTTCTTCTGAATTTTCTCCATACAGATCAGACCCACTTCAGCAAATGGAGTAATAGTTGTTTTTCCCATATTGGTATCAGTAGGCTTTGTTAATTCTTGAAACATCTCTTAAAAGGCACCGTAAACAGCCCCTATTAGGTTATCATGCTTTCCCACCAGGCATGGATTCATGGGGCTGGAATGGAAGTAGAGCTTCAAAGGGCTGGCCTTCTGCACCCCTAGCCTCCATAGCCTCTACAGCCTCCAAACCATGGTAGAGTTATAGGAAGATGCTGAGCAGGTGAAATCCATGGGAGGAATGACTCTTGTAGGGTTTTAGAAGAAATACAAGAAATAGACTCTTGTAGGGTTTTAATTGGATAGGCAAAATGGAAAAGGCAACTGCTCATAGGTTTGCAGTAATACTCAACTGTTTCATCAGTGACTGTTTATTCACTTCATTGATTTAAAACCAATGAGTAAAATGTGTAATTAGCCCCAAAGCCAGAGGTCTGGTCTTCTTGTGACATTTGCTATTAAAACTGAAGTGGAATTGGTGTCTGACCTTCTGAGGATAAGAAAAACTGGTATTTTTAGGGCTCTTCTTTGGACCACAAATCAGCATCCTTTGAGCTGGGGGAAATCACAAGTACTTGCCATCTTCCCTCACTGGCATTTTATCTTCTGAACGCATCCCGTTTAGATTGCAGTGTGCAGTGCTTTTTTTCTTTTCAGCTAAGAAAGAAGCATCTCAGACCGGGCTTGGGAATGAGAGGCTTTGTGGTCTCAAGACGGCATTTGCCAAATAATTGTCAATAAATAGAACTTTGGCAAAGACATATAAGAAGATTTGAAAGAAGACGTGATTGTCATACTCAGTCTATTGGCTTATACTAGATCAGAAAGAGTCAAACACCAAATGTCCTAAGGAGTGGGTTAGATGGTGCCCTCCTCCTACAAGATACATCTATATCAAATCCCTGCAACCTATAAATGTTTTCTTATTTTGTAAAAGGGTCTTTGCAGATGTAATTAGGTTACGGATATTAAGACCATGAGAACATCATTCTGGATTATTTGAGTGGGCCCTTAATCCAATGACAAGCATCCTTAGATACACAGAGGTGACACACATAAGAGGGGGAAGGTATAAACAGTTTTTTCTTGATTTTTGTCAGAAAACCCAAAATTTACCAAGCAGCTACAAGCACCTAGATTCTCCCAAAGCCTCTGGATGGAGCAGGGATTCACTGGATTTTGTACTTATGAACCTCCAGAACTGTGAGGAGACACATTTCTGTTGTTTTAAGTAACCCAGTTTGTGGTAATTTGTTGCAGCAGTCGTAGGAAACTAATGCACCGTATGTCGATGATAGTGTTGGGGTCAGGGAGTAGCCCATAAGCCAAAAGAGATTCTAAGGAAGCTTTTTGTGGTTCTTTATTGCAGTGCCATTGATATGTTTTATTTTTCTCTGTAAACTCGAGTCTCCCCTTTTATTAATATACCACAGGAAAGAAAGAGCCTACTTCTGTCATCCTTCCTTAAAGGAATTCACTATTACGGGCAAGGGGCATGCTTCCTCAGCCAACATCAAGAGCTTATCCATTCCCTTTCGTTACATTCCTACCACTCAAATAGCCCAGTCCAAGGTGTCCAATCACGTTATTACATGTTTATTAGATTCCTGAAGCCCATTCTGCCATCTTAAGCTCTTTCAGCTCTGCCTCTCTGCACCCAAGGCAGGAGGAGAATACAGCCAAGGAAGGGTTATGCATTTCTTGCTGTTTTGTTCGCTACCAAAATGGAAACTCTAAATTTTATCTCAGCTTTAACAAACCTTTGGTTACAGGAAGCACAGTAGTTCCAAAAGATTGACTTCCTCCGTTATGCCTTTCAGAGGCCCCAAAATATCAATTTTTTAAGTTACCCAACACACAAGATAAATATTTTAAGTACCATTTTATTTCCATCCAGGCCAAGGGACAATTTAGAAAAGGTTCTATTCTAAGTACATAGCCCAGGAAGTGTGGAAGGAAGTGTCGATGCTGTTATTTTGAAGTTAGCCTGTCAGTCATCATGATTGAAACATAACCCCGATGGCTTCCACAAGTGTAATAAAATGCTTCGCAAAAGGTTGCAGAATTGTAGGATGTAATAAAGTCTGCTTAGCTTCATTTCCAGTGCCGCAGAGTCCTAGAGAACGAGGCCCATTTCCTTATGCCTTGGGATTTGTTCAAGTTACTTTCATGCCTGGAAATGACAGAACATAAAAACAGACATTTAGTTAGAACCAATAGCATTTGGTGAGTTACGGCAATAAACAAAATGTTAGTTTGCTTACTGCTAATCTGTTAGATTGCCACTAACAATTTACGAGAAGCGATATAGATGTGGACAGAATATGTGAAATAGGTGGGTTCCAACCCTGCTGATGTCTGTACTCCCTGGATCCCCACATTTTCTGTGGCTTCCGTTCACACTCCATGCCCTAGAGGTCACCCCATGGTCTCTTAAGAATCTATCTTATGGACACGAGTCTCACATACAAATGAAGCCAATTTAGACCTTTATTAATTAGGTAAGAATAGATTCTCTAGCATAGCCGTTCCCAGAATTACCTGGTGAGCTTGTTAAAAACACAGATTTCTCGACTCTGTCTCCCACATTCTGACTCAGCAGGTCTGGAGAGAGGCCCGAGAATCTCTGCTTTTTAATGAGCTCTCCGTAAGAGTCTGAGATTTGGGGAATTATCGAGCTACTCTGTAACAGGCAGTATTAGCTTTGCTTCAAGCTAAGTTACCTTGAGGATTTGGGCTAGAACTAAAACAAATGATTTCCACTCATAAAATACGAAAAGGGGGGCGGGCGTTAATCTTGGAAAGAAAAGAAAATCCCCAGATCGTACAAATGCATTTCCTAGCCCTGGCATTCTCCCTCCACCCCAAAGGAGAACCTGTTGGAACCTTGGCTTCTGGGCCTTAATTATTGGTATCAGTAAATGGGAGTGGTTGGGAACTGGACAAGGTGAGGCTACGGGCTTGGAGGACATTGGGAAAGGCAGACAGCTCCAGGAAAGAGAAAATTAAACAGGAGGGGGAGGAAAGATGAGAATTTTCTGGGCTAGGGATCTTAATATTGAGGGAAGGTTGGAAGAAAGGGTGCTGGAGGATGTTTGGCGGAGCTACTGTGGGTGTGATATGGGAAGAGGTTTTGAGGAACTTTGCTGAGAAGCACAAATGGACTCCTTCCATGTTTTCGAAAGACTTCTGTGTCGATTTACATTGCTTTTCACTTCCTGTTTGCTATTCCTATGCTAAGTGGATGGCTCTGTGTGCAACACTCCAGGCACCGATCTGGGAGGCTGAGCTGCAATGACTCTTTCTAGGGCCAGTGTGCGGTTCAAGGGCATCCCCAGTACCTGAGTGAGGAGACACTGGCACACACAGGGTTTTTAGTGAGTCTAACATTATGCTTGTTCCAGAAGGACATAACAAGATGCTTGTTCCAGAAGGACATAACAAGATCGGAGAGCAGAGGGCAGGCAGGGCATCCCTTGGGAATCATCTGGTCCCCTCCAGGACCCGGAACATAGAAGCCTAGCCACTTCTGCTTCAGCCTTCACATTTGAGCTTAGACTCCACTGCCTCTCCCCCACCTCACATCTACGGATGTCTGTAAGCGAGGGGTGGAAAGTGGGGTGTATCTACCAGTCAGTTTGCAGCCCCACCTCACCCCCAGAGATGGGGACCTGTCTCATCTCTATATGACATTGAGACTATTCTCTATTGTACCCAGCACCACCCATCTTGTCTGGACATACAGGTCATCTCCCGATCATTCATCATTTTCCTTGGCCTTGAACAATTATTGACTTTGAGTCAGAGGCACCTGTGCAGGCCTGAAAATGGATGTGCCCTTTCTTTTCCTCCGCCTCATCTGTCTAGGGCAGATTTATGTCCTAGGAGAAGTTTCCCTCGGTTTTATTTTTGGTCTTTTGAACGTCGTGGCCCCATGTTATTTGCCGCACCTGCCCGCCCCGACACCAGCCCTGTAATTTCTGAATTTCCATGGAAGCCTCTATCTGTACAGCAGCAGGCTTTCCTTCAGTCAAATGACAATGACAGTGCTTCTGTGGCACATCCCTCACGCAGCTCTGGCATGCAAACTGTCGGCCTCGCTTCTGAAGGCCTGGGTGCAGCAGTTCCTTTTCTCCAACCAGCCCAGAAGCTGGTGGGCAGCAGCGTCTGCTTCTCGAGGCCGAGCACGGTGAGGGACCGTGTGGGGCTCTGAGGAGCCCTGGGTCTGAAGTCCACCCGGCCTCGTGACCCACCGCCTGTGTGCGTGCAGGTGATGCGAGGCGTGTGGCTGTGGCTGGGGTGAGGCTGCAGCGGTCAAGGCCCACAAGCCCTTGGAGCAGAGCCCCGCATGCTGTAAGCACTCACTAATGTTAGCCCCTGCTCTTGTCACCACCGCGATGCTTTTTTTCCCCTCTGCATCACGCTGCCCGTCACAGCAAGTGAAAGAGCTTAGCGATGCAGCAAGAGATTCAGTGTTATCTGGGGAGAGGGCGCATCTGGGCAAGGTGCTCATCTTCCCATCTTCTGCTCGGATGTCAGATGGCACATGCCCTTCGTGTCCCTAGCTCTCTTCCAAAGCACCTTGAGACAGTGGTGGTTTTTCAGTGCTACTTGGGTATATCAACAGATGTATTTACTGAAGTATGAGTGAGACCCTGAGGAGGTGCAAAGAGGCAAAAGGTGGTATCCTCAAGGCGCGGCTAGCCCCTGTGGGGAGACGCTTCACACAAGATGTGGCAAGGTGAGAGAGAAACTGGGTGCCAGGCAACCAGTCCAAGAGAATGTGGCCTCCTGGAGCTTCAAGAACAAAGAGCATGGGCCCAGGATGTCTGAAGTTTGCCCCATTGCCATGAACAGGTGCTTTTCTTTTCTTTTTCTTCTTCTTCTTTTTTAAGATTTTATTTATTTATTCATGAGAGACACACAGAGATAGAGGCAGAGGGAGAAGCAGGCTCCATGCAGGGAGCCCGACATGGGACTCGATCCTGGGTCTCCAGGATCAGGCCCTGGGCTGAAGGCGGTGCTAAACCGCTGAGCTACCCGGGCTGCCCCAAACGGGTGCTTTTCAAATACTTCTATGTCTCTAATTTAGTGGCAGATGAATGGAGGATGACCCATCCCCTGGCCAGGCGGTGCTTGAGAAATACCAGAGTGTTCTGGAGTTCCTATCAGAGGTTTGTTTTGCAGGGTAGAGAGTGAAGGCAGAAGGGACACGCCGTGACCCTGGACTTCGGAAGAGATTTTTGGAAAGGAGAGCTTCGAGTCTGTTAGGAAAATAAAAACATCTAATGGAGAAAGATTCAGTTTTGAGTAATATTGGCCGTGGGGTGTGTGCTGTAATCGTCTTGTCTGTCTCTCCCTGGATGCTTCAGGCAAGTCTTTTAAGTCGATTTGCATTTTGTTGTCTTGATTTAGTGAGTACAGGGAGAAGCAGAGGTACCAAAGGAATCCCCCCATGGGTGAGAAGTCACACCGACTTCTTCTCCTTGAAGGTACAGGTGTCATCGTGCCCCATAAAGTCATTCTCCACAAAACAGGAGCAGAGTCCCCTGTTTTCAACAGATCCAGCCAACCTCTGCATGCATTCAAGCCAACATCTTTTTACTAGTGTGTCAGTGAAGGAGGCTTCTACCTCTTACCCCGTCCCCTCCTCTTCTCTGATAGGCCCGAAGGAGGAGTTTGTGCTTTGAAGCTAAGAAAACAGATCGCCGTCTCTCTCTTCTGTAGGTGAACCTGGAAGGGAGCTGGCCACCGTCAATCTAACTGACAATGCAATGCAAAAGGAACATTCAAGCCCACACACACTCAACACACCTTCCCCTTCTGTTTCTTGAAGGTTTGGTTTCTCAACTTGGCTATTCATTGGAATCACCTGGAGAGGTCTAAAAAAATGACCTGCCTTCATCCTACCCTCCAAGATTCTGATCTAATGGGTCTGAAGTGTGGTTTACACCTCTCAGGTGGCAGAGGTGGGCGGCAGGGGCAGGAATCATTGAATGTGAAAGCCAAGAGCTCCAACCCTGTCTCTGTTTTTGTTTTGTTTTGTTTTAAATTTTATTTATTCATGACAGAGAGAGAGGCAGAGACATAGGCAGAGGAAGAAGCAGGCTCCCCTGGGGAGCCTGATGCAGGACTTGATCCCACCCTGAGCTGAAGGCAGACCTCAACCACTGAGCCGCCCAGGCATCCCAACCCTGTCTCCTTTTTGATTCAGCACCAAAGTGTACTCCCAATAAAATGTTCCAGCTGCCCCAAAGCAATTCAGGTGCTGGAGACAAATTTTGGTAGGTTTCAGATGCAAATGTCCAACTTCTAGTAGGGTTGCCTGTCTTCTGTGGTTCAGCAGAGCCACACATACCAGGCAAGTGTTGTCCTGCAAAGATTGTACTTCCTACCCATAAGGTTAAGTAAAAATCACCTGTTTTGCATCCATACCAGAGATGTCACAGGTGGCACCGCCTTCAGCTTGGGTCGTGATCCTGGAGACCCAGGATTGAGTCCCATGGCAGGCTACCTGCATGGAGCCTGCTTCTCCCTCTGCCTGTGTCTCTGCCTCTCTCTCTCTCTCTCTCTCTCTCTCTCTCTCTCTCTCTCTGTGTGTGTGTGTGTGTCTCATGAATAAATAAACAAAATCTTAAAAAAAAAGAAAGAAATGGTTTTAAGTCACAGTGATCACACTTACCAGTGACACAAAATCTTGAGACACAAATCTAAAATTTTTCTGTAACAGCTCTTCTTTTAAAACTCAGAGTTCCTAGCAGGCTGGAGATAGAGGGAGGTGGCCATGGAAAGCCATTCCGCTCACATGGAAAACAAGAGGGCCAATTTCCTACGGGCAGGCACCTCTGACCTCTGCTTTTCAGCTTTTTCTTAATAAACTGGTCTCTGAAATTGGATGACAAAAGCTGCTGGTGGCGACCTCTTAGAGTGAGTGGGGAAAGGGGGAGCTGGGGGAGAAATGGCAGGGGACAGAGAGCCACTGTGATGAGTAACTCTGAGGCGACGCAATCCTCCTTCCATCTAGAGCTGGAGGGGTTACCCCAAAGCACAGAGGCCAGACACTTAGTGGTGAGAGGACACACTTGAGACAGCAGGCGACCTTGTGCCAAGTTTCCTAACTCAAAGCCATTCCGCTGTGCTGGGCCACGCACACTGATTAACACCACAGCATCC